TCTTGCAGGTCGATTCTTCCGACGATCCACTACATCAGTTGGTATCAGAGGCAGGAGCTTGCGAAGATTGATGGACTGCAGAAGAAGGTCGGCTGTCGACGACGATCGAAGCCGAAGAAATTGGGCGATCGACGAAGATCGACGCCGGATAAGATGGGCGATCGACGAAGATCGACGTCGAAGGAGATGGGCGGTCGACGACGATCGACGTCGAAGGAGATGGGCAATCGACGACGATCGACGCCGAAGAAGACGAGAGATCGATGACTATCCTCCTCTCGAACTTCCACTCCAATAGTGTGATCCGCCGCCGGAATACCCTCCTCCCCAACTTCCACTCCAATGGCGAGATCCAGCACCGGAATATCCTCCGCTTGAACTTCCGCTCAAATGGCGGAACCCATTGCCCGACCATTTAGTCCGCAATCAACCCGCGGCCTTCGTCCGCAACTCGCCTCCACTCCTGCCTCATTTAGTCGCCCATGATCCTTCCGCCGCTTCGTCTCTTAACCACACTCGCAATCCCGACCCCCTCATGCAAGATTTCGCCACTACCACTCCTCCATTGTCGCGCGCTTCCAATCTGGCCATTCCGGCTTCATCCGTTTGCTTCCCCAACAAGCCCGCACAACCCACCCCGCTCCAACGGGATCCTTCCGCCGCTGATGTTAATGTTGTCGAGGAAGAGCAGTTCATCAGGCCTCTTCAGTTTCTACATTCGCAACTTCCCTTTGACACCTCCCACGACATAACCCAGATTCCACCTCCCCCAGCCAACCAACAACCCATCGTCCATGCTTCACTTGAACGATCCAAGATTCAAGTGAGCTTGACCCTTGCCACAGAACCAGAAAAAGCAACTGCTGATAATAACATTGCCGATAAAGAGCCATTCGTAGGGCCTCCGCTACCCACAGATCTGCAACTGCCGCTGCCACTCTTATCCGGCGATCCCAAATCCACTATCAAATCTAATTCCTCTACCTCTATCGCTAGCTTCGACTCTTTGGTTGGAGCAACGCGTGAATCCAGTGAGAGACAACCCACGTTGTCGGACATAACGCTAAAGCTCGTACATCATGTGTTCTCTACATGTGGCAACTTCCCTACATGTGAGTCTATCCGGATGTCACAACAGGACAATTGCACCAGAGAAAGGACACTTACAGTATTTACCAGAACTAACAAGTCGTCGGAGGGCCTTCTTGAGAAAGTCACAGCTGACGATGTCAACATTGGCCTCAATTCAGAGACAAATGAGGAGGCCCATGTAGCAGAGAAGGTGTTAGCAGCTCATCCTTTCCTTTCAAAAATAGACATGTCCTTAGGTGGAATCCATGTCTTAGCGAGCAAGCTGATGCAGACCCAAATGCAAAGCATATCAAAATGCCTACCTAATAATGTCTTCATGGAGGCCATGCCTCAAAATCCGGCATCCGTGGCTAATGCTATGAGAGTTTTTATGCAGATTAATAGCAAGGCAAAGGATGCGCTTAGGAAGCTGCTACTAAGACGAGAATTTGATGCTTTTCCGAATGATGAACAAATGCATGGCATGGCTCGGCTAGCTAAAAATCTGCATGCTTATGTGACCGCATTGCCAAATAATATCCTAACTAAGGAGGCGGCTTTCTTATTGGAGGTAATTAACGGTTTTCATGCCCTTAGCATAACAAAAAAATATACAAATGATAGGAAGGTGTATGGCAAAGCCTCTAGAAGTGGTACTGGGAATGTTCTTTCTGCAGGAGTTAAAATGCCCAGTTTAAATTATACGGATAAAATTGATCCAGCACAATGCAGACAAGCTGCTCGACGAAATGTCATTGATAGATATGATCCCAAATTTGTTAGGCAATATGAGGAGGCTCTCATTAGGGAAGAGGCTGACTAGGACACTCTGCAATGGCTGAAAGAAGGGGATCTTATCAACATTGTTGTTGTTGCTCTTGGGCCTATAAATAAAATTGTTCAAATGCTTAATGAGCTTCGTCAAAGAATCTGTCTTGCTGAAGATGGGGAAAATGACCTTCTAACGCAGCTTCAAACAACAAGGAAAATATAGATTTACCATGAAACAATTTGATCACTGAATACCTCCATGGGCTAGTGGCATATGAGGTAAGAGGCTTCAATTCTGTCAGAAACGTCTTATTAAATGATGATCTAACAACAAAAGTGGGGGACTGTGGCCTTTCAAGATTATATGATCATGGAAATGTTCCTAAGGAAACTCCTGTAATTGGAACCTTCGGTTATATTGCTACAGAGTCCAGTAAAAATGGCAGGGCAACTGCCTCCACAGATATATATGCATTTGTGGTCTTTTTGTTTGAAGTTGCATGTGGAAGAAGACCAATTCTTCAAGATGCTTTACCAAATGTTCAAGAATTTAATGGACTGCGTATCAAACAATTGGAAAAGATCGGAAAAGATGGTGCTTTCGTTGAGAGACGCAGAAACTTTGATCCAGGGATATGGTTATGAGTTTTATACCTACCTCCTTCTTGATGGCGCAGTGATTATTATCATCTCGACAGAGTCGAGCTCTTCTGACACAAGGGGAGTATGATGTAGGAACATCTTAACTAAATGCAGCTTTAGGAATATGCTATCTAAGTTTGTTACTACTAGCTTCTAGAAAGTTCTTATTAGCTTATAAATATGCAAGTATTGTAGTAGAAAAGACATTGAATGAAATATTACATCTCTTTAAAGCTTTAAGCTTGAGTTTATCCTTGTTCCCTAGAAGTGGGATTAAAATCCTTCTTGCAGGTCGATTCTTCCGGCGATCCACTACATCAACTCTCTTGTGTCGTCTCCTCTACCAAGCATTTCGCATTCTACCCTTTCTTGTACTCAATTGTATATACAATACTAAAGGGACCAGATGCGGGTTCTACCTGATACTACCTGAGACCTGATATGGAGGCCACCGAATAAATAATTATAAAGGAAATACCAGCTCAGCCCACGTGACACGTTCCTCTGCTTCTAACCGTTTTGATTTCTACTTTTGCTATTTCCGTATTCCTTTCTTTATTTTTCTTATAGGACTTAATTATAGCATTTCCGGTGATGGTTATCTTCTCCGTTTTGGAGGCTGGGAGGACATATAGAAAATTATCACTCCTTTTACAAACTTGTTACTGTTACATTGCTGTGTAGTTCTCGTTGCAGGTCAGCGGCTACACCATATATTTTTCAAAAATAAATCAGAAACATTATAATTAGATGAATTCAATTAACCATCCTTACTACAACCATGTCAGAAATAAGGCCAAAGAAGTATTTGCAACAAACAACACAAAATGGCAATTTGCAACCACTATGATAATTACAACTGTCATAGATTAAGAAAACGTCAAATAAGACAACCTAATATTTTAAACTTGGAAAACTAAAATGAATTCTGAAAATAGATTGAGTATAACTTCTATAACTGCTGCCTGAAATGAACAAAGGCCACCGTCATATTCAGATCTAAAAAGTTTGCCTGTTCTGTCATTTAAAGCTTCAGAGAAGATTTTAAAAAAGCCGCAATTTCTTGTATCAGGAAATGGTTTTAAACAGAGTAGAATGTAAAAGGAATTGCCAGGCTAATGATCGACAAACAATGAGACCATAGATATAGAGGCCATACTTGTAAGAGTGTCAGGTAAGATCCAGTAGTGCGCTCTTCAGTCGTCCAGATCGCCTAACATTATATACAAAGTAATTTGATCATCTTTTGTCAATATCTCATACAAATTTCTGAACCCAAAATTTTGCCAAGTGCAAGCCAATATCAAGTGGTAGATCTTGCTAAACGTTCAGATAATCTGTTCAGATGCTCTTTTGAAATGCCGGGATTGAGCTGTTCAAGGTTTTGAACAAAAGCACTTGCTTCATCTCTCCTCCCTTGCTTACAATAACCATCCACTATTGAGTTATACGTGTTCTCATTTGGCTTGCATCTATGTTTTATCATGTAGATAACTAAATCGATGGCTTCCACAAACATTGAATTGGCCACATAACTTGCAACAAAGATATTATAAGTAACAATATCAGGCTTAAGCCCTGAAGCCCGAAGATCAGAGAATATTCTGGAAGCTTCTTTCATCCTGCCATGCTTTCCATAAGCATAAATAACAGTGTTGTAAGAATAAAGATCAGGTCGCCCACATTTTTCTTTGATCTCCCTGAGAATACCATCAGCCCTCTCAAAGTCCCCCAACCGACTATACATATTAATCAAGCTATTATATGTAGTCAGAGTGCGAGTAAAACCACTTTCTTTCATGAAGTTAAGAATCTCATTTACCTTTGAAAGCATCTGCCTCCTACCATAGATTGATACCATTGCATTCAAAGTAGTTATATCAAGAGAGCACCCTCTCTTCCTCAACTCCAAGAAAGCCCTCTCTGTCTCTGGCAAAAGATTGTTTTTGCTGTTTACCAATACAAGAGTTTTGAAAAGAATGTTGCGTGGTTCAATAACCCTACCATATATATCTTCTTCAAGGGATTTCATCCTATCAAGCTCCTTCGCATTGGCATATGCATGCAGCAAAGAACAAAAAGTAAGCTCATTTGGTCGACAATTGAGATCCTTCATCTCAGCAAGTATCTTCTCCGCTTGCTGCCAATGTTTTCCACGAGCCAATGCAGCCATCAAAGCATTGTAAGTGGACAGATCTGGCCCAATTCCAGCAGTAAGCATATTCTCATAAATCTCCATAGCCTGGTTGAACAACCCACATCGGCTGTAAGCACTGATCAAGGTATTGTAAGTCTCCCTTTCCGGCACAAACCCAGCTTTCCTCATCTCTTTGAAAACACCAGACACTTCTGTGTCCATCCCATTCTGACCAAAAATTGCCAACAGAGAATTCCAAGTGACAACATCTGGCGTAAAGCCGTTTGATCTGAGCATCCCAAAAATGCTCATCATATCCGCAAACTTTCCACGATTTCCATGCATCTTAATCAGAGCATTGTAGGTACAAAGATTCGGCCTGCAGCCTTTGCTCTCCATCTCCTCAAAAATTCTCATGGCAAGCTCATCCTTACCAACCTTCTCAAAACCTGATATCAGAGTAGTGTAAGTGACGACATCAGGCTCTATCCCCTTTGCTTCCATTTGCACCTTCAGCTCCATTGCTTCTTCCAAAATCCCATCTTTAGCGTAGGCTGAGATCAAAGAGTTGTACGTGACTAAACTCGGAGGAATACCATTGGCATCCATCTCCCCAAGCACCTCCATAGCCTCCTCATGCTTCCTAGACTTTCCATAAACATCCAGTAGCACATTGTAAGTGACTTTATCCGGGCCTAAACCCAACGATTTCATCTCCTTAAATAGCTCAATAGCTTCTTCATGCAGAGATCCTCTGCGGCAGCAACTGATGAGGGTATTGTAAGTGTACCGATCAGGAGCAATTCCATCCCTCTTCATGAATTGAACAAGGGAGACGATTTTGTGCCAGGGCATGAAGAGCTTTCCATAGACATTCAACACAATGTTATAGGTAACAAGCGTTGGCTTAATACCCTCCTCCTCCATTTGCTGGAACACTGAAACAGCGTCACGATAGCGCTCGTTCCGGGAGTAGGCAGTGATTAGGGAAGTGTAAGCGTACACGTCGACAGGGCAGTGCTGAGTGCGGAAATCATCAAGAAGGGTAGCGGCTGCGGAGAGCTGCCCGTTGCGGCCCATGATGCCGATGACGACGGGGATGATAGCGGTGGATGAGAAGAGGGCGTCTCCAAGAGCACGTCGAGCGGTGTCGAAAACGGCAAGGGCAGTGGCTGATCGCTTGTGGAAGTCGAGGGCCTCAACAATTCCGAGAATATCAGTGAGAAGAGAGTTTGGATCGTCGCAGGCGGGGTTGAGGAGTTGGCGAAGGACGGGTTCAAGTTCGGGGGAGGCGGGATTTAGAAGGGAGCGGATAATACGGTGACCGCGGAGGGAGACGCGGGGGTCGACGGACCATGGTTTGCCGCGGTTGGGGTCGTGGTGACGGCCAAGGCGGGGTTTGCGGGAGGTACGCGGCGAGCGGCGTGGTTCAGTAACGGATGGGGAAGAAGAGGAGGAATGGCGGAGGAGATCTTGGAGAAGAGGAGAAGGGGAGAGGGTAGAGATGGGGCTGAGAGTTGGGGAATCGAGGGAGAAGGGC